CTGGAACAGGCTGCCCAGAGAGGTTGTGGAGTCGGAGTCTCCTGAGATCTTCAAAACTCGCTTGGACGCAGTCCTGTGCCACATGCTCTAGGTGACCCTGCGTGTGCAGGGGGGTTGGACTAGATGACCTCTAGAGGTCCCTTCCAACTTTAAGCATTCTGTGATTCTATGAAGACAAATGTTTTAATGAATTTAGTCTTACTCTTACTGTGGTACATGCTAAGTGCATGGAGAAAGTAGATTTTGCCCTGAATGAAGAGTTTTGTTTTGAAGTCTGACTGCCCTTCACACCTGTTTCAATTAAATTGTGATGTGATCTGTTTTTCCCTGTAGTAATTGAAGTTTAATTCATTATCTGTTTTCTTCTACAGGCAAGCTAAAATAGATGGGCGAACAGCAATTGCTAAGGTTGATGAAATGACCAGATTGGCAGAGAAGCTTCAAGGCCAGTTGGAGAGAAAGGTATCATAGAGAAAGGATTAATTGTCTGTTGCGTTTAAATGGCTAATCAGTTACCTGAGTGCTGATATTGCATAATTAATCTCAAAATGTTCTCTAATTTGTTTTTTTGCTAGCATATTGTTATGTTAAGTATAGCTCAGATGACGTCTAGGTAACATTTTTTCTAGGAGGAAGATATGGTATCTGCTCAGCAGAGAGAAGAAGCCTCTGACAAACGCTTGCAGCAAATGCAGTCCAGTATAAAACAATTAGAAACAAGGTAAGATATCTTGTTGAATATTACTAGCAAGTTGCATACAAGTGATATAAAATATGATCTTTTCCTTAGTACCAGGGTTTGGTATTTTTGAATAGTTATGTTTTCCTAAGATATGGATGTTTTATGTTTGGCTACTTTTTGTCATATTTATTCTTCTCTGGCATCAATGTATTTAAAATTATAAAACATACAAATTCATCTTATTGACTATAATGGAGGAAAAAGGGGACATCTATTTACATTTATATTTAGCATGTTAATTTTGATTCAGGTATCATGAACAATCATTTAATTATTAAAATCAGTCAAATGACTTGAAAGCTAAGAAGAATTTTTTTTAAATTAAAATATTTTTGTGACTTCATCTTCTCATCTTGGTCAGTTTTGTGGATTTGAGTAGCAGATTCTTCAAAAACTCTAAACCTCAAATAATTACCTGGGCACTTTGTCACTGTATGGCCAGCTGTTACCTTGAAGAGTTGCACAGATTTGTACAGCTGCCTCTACTTAATGAATTTTCCTATCATAAGTACTCTTACATTTATTTTGGAATGTCCTAAGGAACTGGCTAGCTTTATTACTTTCTATGGGCTTTTGGTTCTCCAAAAATTGTGCTTAATGCAGCTTTCATTCCTTGTGTGTTTTCTCATAAACATGGCTGCTTGAAGGGGCAGCCCCAGTGTTGTGCTGTGTACATTTAGAACCAGGCACTTTGGTGGATGAGCAGCACTTAGAGAACTTACTCTGAGTAAGTTTCCTGTTACTACCCAAAGGCTTTGTTTTTCTTTTTTGAGCATACCACAGAGACTGTTTGGCCCTCTCTCATGCCAAGCAATACTGACAATCATAATTAAACAATAAGAATTTTTGAGCTATTGTAAATAGTGTTTTTCAGGTTCTAATGGTATCATTGAAACTTCATTGCCCACATCTAATTACTCCATTTTTTCCCACATAGGAAAACTTTATCCCTTCTGAAGTTGTCTATTCTATTCTAATATAAAACATTTTTCACTGATGTATCCCTGGATAGCAACATTCTTCTAAGGATCTTCTGAGACTGGAGTTAACTCCTTTAGTTCCATTTCTTTTTAGGACATGATGTATACTAAACCTAAACAATTTCTCCAGAAACAAGCAGAAAGCCCACAATGAAATTTTGACAAATGATAAATAAATGTTTTCTAAATATGAAAAGTAGTTTGAAAGAATTTAACTGTCTTAATTATCTTATTGAGAAGTGAGAAAAATTGTTACTGTCTTGTAGATTACGTGTTACTGTCCAAGATGCTGAGCAGCTGAGAACAGAAAGAACAGCACTGGAGAAACAGATCAGAGAGCTTCAGACAAAGTGTGCTAGTCTAGAAAAGGAGAAGTATAATGCTGTTACAAAAGTCCAAGATAGCATACAACTTTTAGAAGAAGCTAACCTACAAAAAAGTCAGGTAAGGCAATGAATGAAGGTCTTTCCTGGATATTAGAACACTGTTATTACTTACAATTTTAAGTGCCAGATAATGTATTCATATACACAGGCATGCATACACAGTCAAATTTCTTCTGTTTCTCTAGTACTCAAGTTACTAATGCAGAAAAAACTGTGATACGTGTTTGTACATTATTCAAACTTGTCATACACTGTACATTTCAAAGAATATGAGTGCCTGGATAAAGGCGATCTGAGTGTACTCTATTTGAATATTGAAAAATTTCTGTTAGTGTTTCTCATCAATACTTTTAAACAAATTGGTTTGTTGGAGAAAAAAATAAGGTTCTGTTATGTGTTTATAACTTGTTAATAATTAGGAAAAAAGAGCTAAAAAACTAAAGGGATTTTTTTTTTTTTTGTATCATGAATGTAGGTTACCAGTAGAGTTAGTTCTGTGCTCAAATCTTAACTGTTTGTAAGAAATCTGGAAGAGTAGTTGTGGAACAGACAGGTGAAGTTTTCAGGAAAAAAAAAAAATGGAGGTACTTGATAATGGGTGAAAAAATAGCAAATGAGATTGAAATTCGCATACACTCTACTTTGGGCTGAGTTTCCTGTTACTACCCAAAAAAGAAGTTCCAGATTTGCTGCAGATATTTCTTTATGAATACATTCTCTCAGTCATCAGTGATAGTCAAAACAATTAGTGGAATATTAGGAAAGAGAGTTGAAAATAAGTTTTTAAGTACCACGCTACCTTCATGTGCAGTTCTGTTCAGCACATCTCAGATAAGATATAGGTAACCTAAGAAAGTACTAGAGAGGTCATTAAGGAAGATTAGGGAGGTAGAGAGACTTTAAAACGATTTGGGTACGATATGGAATTACACTGTTATAGGATATGTGTATGCCGAAAATACAGATATGCAAACAGTCAAATTCATGATAGAAGAATGCACCAAAACTTCTTTAGGACAGTCTGTAGTCCAGGGGGTCATGACACATCAATTCATAAAAAAAAAAAAAAAAAGGCCATCTGATCTTGCCAGTTTTTACCTCTTCTGAAGTATCCTTTCAGAGACAGAATACAGGGCTTTGATAAATTTTTATCTGATATAGGCACTTTCTTATTTTAATGCCAAGCTTTAGCTCAGTCGGGTCAGGCCTTTAGAAGTATTAAAAATAGCTTGAACTGTGTTTACTGGCAAGACAGAACTTTAATGCACTTAATAGATTGTAGCCATCAGTAAAGGAAGCCCAGCTTAGTTAACTCCTGTGGAAAAAAATGGAGAATCTTAGAGTGTATTCTATTTTGGATAACCCATCGAATAGTTAAGGAGATTAACACCCATTCTTCTAGTCTGAAGTTGCTTTTCAAACTAGGTATTCTCCTGGGAACCTATTTTCTTAGTTTCGTAGTTTGAAATATTAAAATTAATGTTTTGTCCTTTTTGCTTTTTCTTATTTCAACTCTGTGACCAAGGAGCCTAGATCCTGTCTGCCAGAAAAGAGGACTAACTTCTTTAACAGGTCTCGCTACCTCCTGGCCTTCTTTCAAAATAGATTAGAGCATTAACAAAACCCACAAATACCAGTAGTTATTATAATAGCCAGCAGCTTACTGTTATTCTTGTTACACATAAGAGCAGTGAGATCAGAATGATTTGTAAAGGATCATTGTAGCTGGAAGTGGTGCCCCTGAAAAGACTGAAATTATGAGCACTTGGCAGTAACAGAAAAACAGAAGGCAGGGAAAAGGACAGTTGAAGCTGTTAGTGAAGGAAGTATTGTGATGCTTTTTCTAGATCCCCATACAAAAGAAAAGGCATTCATTGCCATAAGCTTTTTCCTTGTTTGGGCTTTACACGAATGCACATTTTGTGGAACAGGCTGCTCAGAGAGGTTGTGGCGTCTCCTTCTCTGGAGATCTTCAAAACCTGCCTGGATGCCACCCTGTGCCACGTGCTCTAGGTGTCCCTGCTGGAGCAGGGGGTTGGACTAGATGATCTCGAGAGGTCCCTTCTAACCTCAACCATTCTGTGATTCTGTGGTCTCATTTCTTGTGTTCCTATTTCAGCTACTTCAAAGTAGAAGGAAAAAGTACTTTTTTGGACAGAGACTGTGTGGTTTCTTCTCAGTGCTGGAGATTATCTTATCGTTAGTGTGTTATCAGTTTTATTTCCAGTTGTTATTTTTTCTAGGCACTTTATGGGGAGAAACAAAAGGAAGAGGAAATCAAAAATATGAAAAATGAAATGACCCAACTTGCAGAAGAAACTGCTGCAAAAATTCGAAAGGCAGTAAGTTATCCTGTTCATAAAGAATCAGTTATGAAGTCAGAGTTTACTCTGAAATAAAACTTTTTGTATTAATAATAGGAAGCATATAGATTCCAGAATAATTTTTTGCAGGGTTATTTTTTAATTATTTTTCAAGAATGCATCAGAGTAAACACATACATGTGTGACTATATTCTTGTAATAATAGTATCCTCTGCAAGTAAAACATCACCTCGTGTGCCTGTAGAGCAGTTCAGATTAGGTTCAGATTTGCATAGAATGCCCATGGCATTTGCAGCTGACCTCATTTCAAGTCAAGGTAAATTTTAAAAAGTCTCACAGTCTTTGGTATTCTTTGTTAGTTGTCTTGAGCAGTTTCTGTTGTCTGAGCTAGAGTTACCTGAACAGAACTTCTTAACTTTGCAGGTTCAGATCTGTTCTTCTTGAAATGTTAGTACTGCAAATACTTTGCTGTATGATTTCTCTAAGTGCCTTGGAGGTGATTCCTACTAATGAGAGAACTGATAAAGATTATGGTTGCTCAGACTTCTTGGGTTTATAGAGAAGCAGGAGGAAATACTAAATTGCATTTTAGGATTGCATTTTAATTTTACTCTGTTTTTGACTACAGGTAGACTTTACGAAGAAACAATATAATGTGCAGGTTTCTCGACTAACAGAAGAACTTTCTGCTCTTCAGCTGGTACAGTCTTGACTGATGAATATATATTTTGATGACAAAACATCTGAGAATTCTAGCTTCTGATCAAATAAAACACTGCATTTTAGTGTTTTTTATTTGTGATTTAATATCAAGCTGCATAGGAAAAGAACCTAAAATGTTTTTCAGGGGTGAAAGTCAAGCAGCACATTGTTAGCAGTTTTGTGAGGAAAGAATTCTTGGATTTAGGCATATGTTTAAAACTTTTAGGCAATATGGAAAATTTTGGTTTATTTGTTTCTAAGATGATGTTCTTCGGTATTGTTAAATAGAAGCTATTAGTGACTAGCTGGAAAACAAAGTCATGACTGACTCTAGTATGCTTTTTTTTCATGTGTGTACATCAGTCAATGGAAATCTGTTAGAAAGTACATCAGAAATAGTTGCTTTTCTGTTTATGGTTTTTCTTATACTATTGAAGAGGTTTTTTTCTAGAAATTATATGTTTTTAGGGTAGTCTGGAAATGATTACATGTAAATTTTTATGATGGCTACCAGTAATTTTCCTAACTGCATCTGAAACTCTTGGGTTCAGCCCCAACAGCCCCGTAATTTCTGTGCTGTTTTTGACTAGCATCAGACTTATCTGTCTGATCAGAGGCAGTTAGAGCACCAGTTTAGTCCTGCTGCAAAAGCATTTCCAAGTAATCTCTATAGAGCACCTTCCCAGCAGTTCTGTACAGTTTGGTTGGCATAAAAGATGGTGAACCAATAAGGTAGGAGTAATCCTGTGTATAGAGAAAGTCGTACATGTATCTCAAGATTAATAAGAGAAAAGTAATTGTCTAGAATTATGCTTTATTATGAAATAGTACTTTGCCTCCTGTGAGTTTTAAGACACTAATATTGCTTGATAAAAGTGACTGTCTTACAGTCTGCACAGGACTCATTTATAGCGGTAAAAAACCCTGTGCTTTGAAAAATCATTTTTAATGTGCGGATTTACCTCGTGTGTATTCGGTTATATTTTTCTTTTATTATGCATCTTGGCTGCCTTTGCAGGAGATCACATGATTTTGTAAATACAACAATTTCTTTGTGTAAGTTTTTTCCTTGAGTTATGCATATTTTAACCACAGTTCACAAACGTATTTACCCTGAGATTAGTAAATGATAAAATAGTGTGCTTTAGCATTTATTTCTCTTGTGATGGCAGTCCTTTTTCTTTCAGGAATTATTGAATCGTGGAAAGGTGGTTATTGTAAATCCATAGTTGGATGCCTAGAAATCAAATATTTGAAGTTGGTGAAATATGCTAAGAAACAGTCTTTGTGTCAAAATATCATTTTCTTGAATGAACTTGGAATTTATAACTTGGTTGGTTGATAAGCACCTATTTGTGGATTGAATTTTTTTTGAAGTTTAATTTTGCATTTCTGTAGCCTGATCCCATGTTAAAAATAACGAGCAAGTAGATATAATCAAATGTGTCCCTACCTGCAGTGAGAATTACATTTGCAATGGCGAGTTTTGGCTTTGGGATTTTTTGACCTTTGCTTCTTTCTGCAAATAATATGTTTTATTATGATTACATTTTGATTAAAATTTAAAATGAAAAATTACTTTCTTAAAAAGGAATGTGGAGAAAAACAGAGTCAAATTGAACGAGTCATTAGAGAAAAGCGAGCAGTGGAAGAAGAACTTGAAAAGGTAAGACAATTTTGGGCATCTTTAGAAAGAAGAGATCTCTTGACTATTTCCAGATTTCTCCCTGACATTGGGATGAAAGATCATACTGTGATCCTGAGTTTATTTTCTTATTTTTCATTAAATTTTCTTGAGTGTAAACACTCATTATGTTAAGTTCTTTTTTTTTTAAATCTGGAAGGCATTTTAAAGCTGTACTAGTAAACTGAAATAGGTGGATAGTGTAAAAGGTAGAGAGAGATGCATGATGTAATGCAGAAGAAAGTAGGCGAATAAACTTAATCTCAATATGCAAAAAAGCTAACTGAATCTTTGAACTCTGAAACTTCTTTCCCAGTAGCAGCAGGATGGAGCATCAATAGAAATACAATTTTGTTTTAGAATACTGGAAAATAGGCCACAATGAACAGTAGCCTCATTATCAGTACTACACTGTCAATCGCTGGTGTAAGGTAAGGACCATCTCACATGTGAGTTTATTCTTCAGATTTATCGGGAAGACAGAGGACATGAATCTGACAGTAGAAAATTAGAGCAACTGCATCAAAAATACCTACTTGCAGAATGCACAAAAGGTGACCTGCAGCTGAGCCTACAGACAACACAGAATAAACTGAAGCAACTGGAAATGAAGTTAGTAGTGGATGTTCTCCAAGTCCTTATTTAATGAAGCTATTTCTGCCTAATCTAAAGCCTCTTGCTGATTGTGTTAGGTTTCTGTTATGTATTTTTAACCAGTAGCAGGAATAGTAGTAGGTTACCATATTTCTGCATTTCTTAAGCAAGAGCAGTTATGAATCATTTTGAAAACATTAAAAAGGAATAACACATGGTAGAATCTAAGATTTTACTTGTTTTACAAAGGAATGAAAACCAAATTTTATTTTTGAAATATAACTGCATTTCAAATACTGTTACTAGGGAAAGTTACTCTCTGTATTATATTCAGACAAATTATTACTTTATAAATTCATCTATGGTGTGGTGTCCTAGTCTGCACACTACATGGTATGTTGTGTTCAAGTCTGTCTTCAAACCTCATAGACATTACTAGAATTCAAATAATATAACAGTAAAAAGTATAGTACGCTACACTTTGTTCAACTGGATTGTTTTTAGCATGAGATGTGTAGGATTCTCTAGGAGTTTAAGTCATAATGATAAATCTTGCCTCTTCCCTAGAGCAATACCCAGTTGGGAATTTGGAAATTCTACAAAAATTAAAATTCCTGCTTCATGTTGGCATTTTGCTGAGTTTGCTTCAATTATTAGATTGTTTCAGGAATGGCCTCGCTAAAGGTCTTTGCTGACTTGTACATACTCCCAGCTGTAAAGCCCATTGTAATATTTGAGTGTATATATGTTTCATAATAATAATAATAAATGAGAAATTCAGGAGGAAACAAGAGAACTGCAGTACTGGGTCATTCCAGAGATCTGTCTATCCTAATATATTTTTCTAGGACTGTCTAAAAGAAGTTGTTCGAGGACAAAAGCTTTTCACTATGTAAGCTTATTATGGTGCTTCATTGCAATGCTCTCCTAAAAACTGTACTGATTGACTGCTTAAAAATGTTTAAACTATAACTATTAATACTATTCCACAAATATCTCATTGTTACTTAGATTAGTGTAGATACTTCCCAATATTTTATGGAAGAGTTCCATAGATGAAATAGGAGGAACCCCTGCCTTTTTTTCTCCATTTTGCTTCCAAGTAGCTTCCTTTAAAAGCTTTTGGTTCTTTTATTGACAGAAACAGTTTTCTGATTCCCATTTCTGTACCAATTGTGAATTTTATAGACCTCTAAAGTTCCTTGTTTCCCACTGTTGTGCCTTTCATGGGTATCCATTTCTTTCTTTTGATGAACCTTGCGGATAGAGGCAATACCCTACTCTAGACCCATTACTTTTTGTAGGTAGCAACAAAATCTTAATACTTTGTCTTCCTTTTCTTCTTCAGACCATCACAACTGGAGCAAAATAACCCTAAAAAACATAGAATGGAGTCAACTCTTGAATAAATCTTCAAACAAGACTTTTCTTCTCTTTTCAGCTCTGAAGAAGAGAAATCTCGTCTCCAGGAAATGATCTGTAAATTGCAGAACATTCTGGATTCTGAACGAGAAAAGAGCGGCTTTGTCAGTGAACAAAGGCTAAAACTTCAACAAGAGAATGAACAATTGCAAAAAGAAATGGAGGGCTTAAGAAAACTGGCCATGGAGGCTCAACAAAAAGCTAAAATAATGGTATTTAGGTTTTAATTTTATTTAATCATAAAAATATTTTTTGCTTAGTAAGACAGCATTCCTATGAAAAATGAACATAAGCTTAAGTCAGGGGTGAAAGCTTAAGTCATCCTTCCTGTTTTCTGCTTGTTGTAATGCTGTATGTCCTCAGGATCTGTTTGGTAGCGCCCTGCTGCTAGTTAAATTGTACTTCAGTATGCATTATGTTCTACTAAGAAGAAGACCCAAATATTCTTTGCTTTTATAAAGTGAATAGATCAAACAAGAACATCCTTTCCTTCAAGTGGTTTTGCTTATTATTCCAATTATAGAGCTTCATTTACTTACTGTTTATAATACATTACGAATCTCTGTATGCCTTTCAGTCCAGAGGCTTCATGCTGCTTCTGTTCCTTTACTTTTGTGTCCACCACGTTATCAGAGCAGTGCCTCACTAAGAAATATTTTAATAGTGTAGCTGTCAAACATGAGTTCTGTGTTTTCAAAAGGACATGAACAATAGGATCAAATCTGTTCAAACTGTACAGATTTTTGAATCGATAAGTGCAAACAAGATACTTAGCTCAAAAAGGATTTTCTTTTTTTAAGGTGTTCCATTAAATGCTCCTGAACAGACTGAGTGCATTAATAGCTAAACTCAACAGATCAAGGTACCTTTGACTTTTGAAGGGAATCAGTTTTGATGCTTGACATGATTTCTAAATATAAAAAGCCAAGGTATTTGCTGGTAGTAGCTCGAGGAATGTAAAGAGATCTAAGAACCTACCACAGTGAGGAAGACCTCAGTAACTGGTCTTACTAGCCTGTGAATGGGAACCATCTCAATCCAGTTACTACTTTTTACCACAAAGCACCAAAGCTATCAACTAAAAAAAAGAGTCAGATGCCAATAGGAAGTCCTGTTCCAGCTCTAGAACTCTTTGGGCAAACAGTCTAAACCAAAGGCTGAGAGTTTCATGAAGGATAGTTCAGAGGTTATAAAGTATATACCAGATCCTATCAGACGGGATTTTAGATGCAGTTAAGAAGATCCTAACACATTTTTACCAGAGGAAAAAGAAAGGATGTGTTTCTGTGGATGAAACACAAGGGAGAAGGATAAAGATTATTTACAAAAATAAGGACATCCAGCTCATTATCCTTTATTGTCAGTTGTACTATTTGCTTAAATTGGCTTTGGGAACATGTGTCTATTTGAGCATATAATTACAAGTTTAATTATTGTATGTTACATGCTTAGAGCAAATGGTTATAAATCTCACTCGAGTGTTTAAAAAAAAAAGGAGGGGGCGGTGAGCAACTTGACTGTATCGTGTTTGTATTTTTTTCCAGATAAGCACAATGGAACATGAGCATTCTGTGAAAGAACACGGATATGAAGCTCGACTTAAAGAAATGGAGGACAACAGTCAAAAATCCACCGCGGAACTGAGGCGTCTCTTAGTAGCTCAGCAAAAAGCAACAAATCGGTGGAAAGAGGAAACAAAAAATCTTACTGATACTACAGAAGTCAGGATCAGTAAGCTAAAGTAAGTGCTTTTTTTTTTTTTTTTTTTTTCTGGAAGGTGCTATGGTTTTGGTACAACATTTGTGTTCACAGCATACGTGTGGTGAAAACCAGCGGAGAGCAAACCATCCAGAGCAGATGATGTGACTCCAGCTGAAAAGGAAAAGTTCCAGAAAGAAATGCGAAGTTAGCAACTAATCCCAGAATGAAAAATTCACATCTTGTAATGACAAAAAGTAAATGAAATGTTTTAAAATTCCCTCTTCTAAAATACAGCATGTTCAGTTTAAGGAAATTTTAGTCTTTGATTATGAAAGCTTTTATATTTATGGCCATTCAGAACAGTTTCTGTAAAATCAGTTGTGAAATGAATCTCCAGATTGAGAAAAAAAATCCTTTTGGGAGGTTCATCTAATACTCTCTTCTGAGTACTTGATGTCGTAAACGAGGATACAAATGAGTTGCCTGATTGCCCTAAGCAAAGATATGATACAAACTTTCCTTTTCTGTTAATTTGTACGTGCTGGCAGGTAGCTGACAGATACATGTATTCTTTGCATAATATGTAAGAATATTTCCAGTTTTGAGAGGGTATAATAAGAAGGGCATCTCACACAGATTACATTTAATTCCTAGATATTGGAGAAAGCAAGCAGCTGTAGTGCCTGTGAACTTACATACAGACATCAATATGTTTAGAGTGAGGCTTACAGTGGAATTTCCATTATTTTACTAGTCCACACTGATCACCGCAATGCACATATGAGACATCTACTTTCATCTTGGTTTTGTTTCTCAGGGTTGTGTTTCCCAGAGTTTAAATATAAAACTTTGTCTGTGCACAGATAGATTTGCAGTGTCTTGTTCAGGTGCTGCTTTTCCTCAGCTATTGCGTGTCTTGTGTTTCACTGATGGGTAGCAGCCAAAGTAACAGGTAACAGCCCGTTATAAGCTGGTTTTTTGGCCAGCTGGCTGCTGCTGCTTGTTGGAGGTAGGAGGCCAAGTAACAGACTTTCCCTCTCTGGAGGCAAAGACACCATGCCTTTGCTTGAGACATTGCTAAGTATGCCGATTCCCTTTCCGGTTTAGTAGCATAGTTTGACTGTACGTGATTAGTTGAGTCTTACTGATGTTTTTTTAACATCTTTTCTTAACTAAAGAAGAAAAGCACTTTGTTGTGTTACTTTTTTAGGTAAATTTAAGCTGGTAAACTTGTGCTAGAAAGCCAAAGTTGGTTTATTTTCAGGAAAAAAAAAATCACCACAGTTGAGCATCTAGGTTTGTAACTGAGATGCTGAATGTCATTCAGCAACTTCCAGTTAAGAGAGAAAAATTGCAGACTTCCAGCGCGATTGAAATTGTCTGTGAAACAGCTGCTTTCCTTCTCAAGGCTTTTATGTTACGTCTTAAAATGGTATTATAGTGGGCCAAAAGCTTTAGACATTTTTCATCTGCAGCAAAATGCTGACATGGAAAATCTAACAGGCACAAGAGGAAGTTTGTCTGGTGAATCTGCATGAAAAATGCATAGCAAATTTTGAAAATGTCCCTATTTATGTGAGAGACTGCCGATGTAGCATCATCTGAAAAGTCCTCCAGTGATTTAACATCCCATTTAGTAGTGCAGTAGCTTTTTCATCAGAATATACTGCCTGATGAATAGAAGAAAAAAATGTTCATGTTAAAAGTTGGAAGTCTGTACAAAGTCCACATGATTCTCTGTCTCTCTGGTTGATATTTTGGTGCAAGTCTGAAAGCAAAGTCAGTTACTTTTTTAGACGATTTTGCAGATTATACATATTGTATAAAAAACAAGGATAGGAAGTGTCTGTTTTTGTCAGACACGTTTGTGATAATTAAGAATGAAGCTAGTAGCAGAAACAAATTGGTTATTTGTTAAGATATATTTGGGATTTAAACCAACATTTTTAAAAAATTATAATTAAATCTGTGCAGAGATCTCTGATATTATGCTGGCAAGTGTTGTTCCAATACCTGAAAGTAAATATTATTCAGGACATTTAAACCCAGTTTCATGGTCATTTAAACCCAGCTTATTTTTTATTTGCTCTCCGCATTACTCTATGTTTAGGTGTGTGATGCAGAATGAGATTGGTATAAAGATAAGTGCCTGTAGCTACACAGTAGTAGTTACTCAATGTCAAGTCCTCACTGACATTATGAATGAATAATTATCATATATTTCCTTTAAAATCCTATAGCAGTAATATTCTGAGTAAATATTTTGAGTGCAAATACAGATACCAATTCACTTCTTATTTTGCTATGAAGCATAATGGTGTTGATAACTTACATTTAAAAGATGAAATAATTTTGTGGCCACTGAATTCCTAGATTTATTACAGAGATCAGCAACACCACTAGCAGAATCTATAGAATTAACAGCTTCACTTGAAAATCCTCTTGATATTAGTTAGCCTAATCACAGAATCACAGAGTGGTTAAGGTTGGAAGGGGCCTCTAGAGATCATCTAGTCCAACCCTCCTGCTCCAGCAGGAACACCTAGAGCACGTGGTAGTTAGGTCCAAGTAAATGGCTGGTGTTCACCAACCTTTCCTATATTGTATGTTCCTGAGAGAGGATTAGTGCATGTAAGAGCCATCTGTAAGGAAAGCCTAATATTTTCCTTAATCCTGGCCTGACAGGGCAGCAAGACTGTGAGCCTAAATGAAGATACCAGCCTATTCATTTGGTTTAAATACAATAATACTTGACGTATACTAGTGTAGCATGATTTTTTAGTAAATTTTGATTGCAGCCTGAGATATTTTGTGGGACTTAATGAACTTACTATTTTATAAGTGCATTTCATTTTTTTTCAGTTAGTGACATATAGCAGAATTTCAGTTTGTAATAGTTATTACTCTTGGAGCACACTGATGTCCTTTGTAAGTGCATATTTTTCATGCAGTTATAAACTGCTTTCGCGGGTCATACTCATATATAGTAGGGAGGTGGTTTATGTAATAAAAGCATTTTATATTGAATTTCACCAGCAGTTGGCTCTTAGTGCAGTTCTTGTAAGCATTGAGTCACTGCTCCGTTTGTTAGTGTAGGTGTTTCTCATTCCTTTGCCTTAAATTCATGACCTGTTTCTGTTTTTTTCTGTTCTCTCCCCATTACTTTCATTTTCCATGTGAAGGTGTCTGAAACATTTTAACTTTCTTGCTAACCTCCCAACAGCAGCTGCTTGCTTTCCATATTATGTAGTGCTCATTTGTCATCTTCTCAGTCTGTAGTGTTCTGTTTGTGAGCTGTAATATGTATACATGAAGGAAACATCAATTAAATATTGTAAGAAATTAAGCAACATCAGTGAACATTAGCTTATTTTTACTTTCAAAATTCAATAAGTAAATTTTGTGGCCTGTAACAGAAGAACGAATTGAGGGTTTTTTTTTAATAATGTGGTAATTTAGTACAGTGGAAAAAAATGTAGCTAAAAATATGTCCAAAGTTTTAAGCTTCACTGAGAATTATTGTGTGCTTTCTTGGACACTTCGGTTTGCGTCTCTGATTTCAAGTTGCATAGATAATCGTTGCCTATATAACTGAAATTGGAATTATAAAACAAAAATAAGTCTGGTGAAACAGGGGCAGTGCTTTGAATGATTGTAGACTAAATTCCATCATTCTCTTCAAAACAGCATAACACAGACTTCTTTCATGACAAGAATTTTGTTCCCAATGTAGCATCGTAAGAGACTGTACATTTTTGAAAGGCTTTATTGATAATAGACCTACTTGTGGCCTTCCAAGAGGGCAGAGAATTGGATTTGCTTCTGTACACTTGTGCCAAAAGTCAATCTTGAAGGCAGTTAAGGTCAGTGATTCTTGCAACATAGGTCATGCTTCCAAATAAAAACATTGCTCTTGGCAGCATGACGAACAGCTGATGGCTAGCATTTGTCCTCTCTATTCCTGCAAAAGTCTAAATAGTTTTGCAGGCTGTACAACTAGGTTTTTCTCACTTTTTATGCAGTGAATTTTAGTTGTAATTTAAATTCTAATGACACTTACATGAAGTGATATTAGACATAGTGAGCTTGGGAACAATGCAGTAAGTGTTTACAGTTATAAAATACATAGATTAATATAGCACTCATTGATTTCAAGAAGGCCAGTGGGATCCCAGGTTGCATCAAGAAGAGTCTGCAGCAGGTCAAGGGAGGTGATCCTGCCCCTCTACTCAGCCCTGGTGAGGCCGCATCTGGAGTATTGTGTCCAGTTCTGGGCTCCCCAGTACAAGAGGGATGTGGAGCTGCTGGAGAGAGTCCAGCGCAGGGCCACAAGGATGATCAGGGGCCTGGAACATCTGCCCTATGAGGAGAGGCTGAGGGAGCTGGGCCTGTTCAGCCTGGAGAAGAGAAGGCTGAGAGGGGACCTGATCAGTGTCTAGAAGTACCTCAAGGGAGGCAGTGAGGAGGATGGTGCTGGCCTCTTTTCAGTGGTGGCCACTGATAGAACTAGAAGAAATGGATGGAAACTGAAGCACCAAAAGTTCCACAGGAACTTAAAGAAAAATTTCTTAACAGTGAGGGTGACAGAGCCCTGGAACAGGCTGCCCAGAGAGGTTGTGGAGTCTCCTTCTCTGGAGATCTTCAAAACCCGCTTGGACGCAGTCCTGTGCCACATGCTCTAGGTGACCCTGCGTGTGGAGGGGGGTTGGACTAGATGGCCTCTAGAGGTGCCTTCCAACCTTAAGCATTCTGTGATTCTATGATTTCAAGATGAGTTGTTCCAAGGTTGAAGGTTTAGGCTTTTTTTTTTTGTCTAAAAATGTTTATGTGTGTATGATTTCTTATCTATCTCAACTTAAAGAGACTTATGAAGAGCTTTTAAGTCTTGACAAGTAAAGTTTAGATAACTAAACTGGAGTTTGGTTTAATGTTAAAAAAAAATAGTTTGATTCTCAGTATCACTTTTCCACAAATATGTGTGGTATTTCATGAGAAATAGAATCAGGCCATTTTGTTGCTTATCTGAGGGGTGCAGAACTTCCATCTGTAGAGCAGTAAGTTCTGACATCACTGTCAGTTTGTACGTCCCCATAATTAAAAGGATATAGGTGACCTGCCTTTGACAGCTGTGGTAAAATAATGGTATCAAGTGATTCACTTCTTGCATTTCTTGTCTTCATTTGTTAGCAGCTACCTGCAATAGGAATGAGGAGCATGTACACATGTTTTTAAAGGTTCTTAGTTTTCTAGAAGTAGCATAATTTAGAGAAGCAATTGCTAAGACCATGTTTTTCAGGGCGAGGACTGGTTGGAACTATCGCTATTACCACATAGCATTGCATATAAAAGTATGTAATTCTGCAGATGTAAGCAGAGAAAAACACACATGATAGCAGTGGTAAAAAGCAAAATCACCCATAGCAAAGAAATAGCCAGGAAATACATGAACTGAAAGGAAACAAACCTCGGCAAAGAATGAAAACCAGATGAGAAAGAGTGAGAGAGATGGCAAAAGTTATGACAACAGAATTTAAACAAAAACAGGATAATCAAATCTACCAGCATTTACTAAAAGAAAACCTGAATGGAAGACTCTATGTGCAAGCTTAAGAATAAGGGCAGGTGCTTAATTTATTATGTAAAACCCAGTGATGGACCCTGACTGGTCGTACATATGCTAAACAGTCAATAGAAGAAGGTTGTTATACAAGTACTAATAGGTGGTTAGTCTCTCCTAAGTAGTGTATCAGTATTTCTTTATTGATTTCTATGTTCTGCTTCTGAGAGTGAGGGAAGGAATAGGGGTAAACAGAAGAATTTGGCAGATAGTGAGTGGCTCCACAGAATCCCTTGCCCGAATCCTCACCTGTAACCAAGCCTAAGACTAGGTCAAACAGGATTCTGGTTGGACCAGGGATCAGAGCAGGATTCACAAAGGTAAGTTTCTTATTGAATTAGCTGAGACATCCACAGAAAGGCCCTCATTAGAGTACATTATGAAAGCCATAGCCATGGAAAAAGTAGTTTTTGTCATTTGAAAATTGCCCAGGTAATTGTTAATCCTGTCAACTTTGCTGTGAATATTATCTTGCTTTCTTAGAAGTGCGGGTGACTGCTCAGCAAAGGTAGTATCAGTAGCCCGTGTGCAGGGACAGCCTTGGGTATCCACAAGTTTGTTTTCTCTCGAAAAATATAAACAGAATCTGCAAAGCATTGGCTTAAAGAAGGTAAGTACTGTAGAAATTAATGAAAGCATGCATTTGAGTTAGTCTAACTTAAAAATCTTGATTCAGATGAAAAATAATAGTAAGATAAATACTAATACTTATCTGAATAAGTGAGTGAATTCATATTCCTAGCCATCTGTCACAATTTCATAGTCTTGAAATATAACGTTTTGGAAAAAAATCAAACACAGTTGTTGTAACATAACCTATTATATTTGAACAAATCAATGCTACTGAACAGCTTCATTTTTTAAAAAAATCACTTGGATTATAATTGTTTCTGTTTATAAAGTGAAATTCTTGCCATATTTTTTAAACATAAATACTGTGCTTAGTGTGCTTAACTCTAAACATTGTTCTCATTTGATTGCAGCTATTCCCAATGTCTTTGTTGCACTTTCTGCTTCTGAAACATTTATGTGTCGTAGTTAGAGTCCCTGAGTCTTTGTAACTGTGTGCACTTAGGGGAATCTTGAGGTTTGACTTTTCTGTAATTGAAAAGAATCTGCCTCTGAAGGATGACCTTTTTCTGTGCCTGTGTATGAAGCGTTGGCCAGGATTGCCTTCTGCCTGCATGCTCTACAGTACATCGAGTGAATTACACAGCATCTTGAGCTGAAGACATTTCCTCCATCTCTAAAACATTATTCTTGGCTGCGCTTCTGTAATGTTTGGCAACCATGGCTGCTTATTTTAGAATGTTCATTAAAGAAAAAATATTAACAGGATGAGAGAGAGCTGCAGGTACCGGCACTATACAAAATTCATAATTACTAAGAGCAACTGAAGCATGGGCTAGTATAATTCAGCTGCAGAAACATCTGGCACACGCCGTTATTTGTCATATGAGAGTTGAGCAGCAAGTACTTGCTACAGCTGGCAGATTTATCACCCGTCTGCCAAAATCCTGAATGCTTCCCTTTTGTTTCCTGCTCGTTTAACAGAGACAATGTGGAGCAGAGACTGCTTTGATTACTTGGAAGTTTGGGTTATCTCTTACTAAAGCCTCATAATGAGTGTTTGGGGGAGGGTTATCGGTCGGGATGGACCGGCTTTCTAGACCAATAGCTGTTTCCTTCTGCTTGCAGGGCTAAGCTCTGTCCTTTAGACACATGCTCAGTGTGATGTTTCAGAGCAATGTTTTGATGTACAACTGCATGTGAGAATGTAAACTGCTCACAGTCTGTGCTGCTGAGGATGCTAATTCTGTGCCTTAGCTGAGCGTAGGGGATGGATTGCCTTCAGTGGCCTATTGAGGATTTTGAATTTACAAAATCACTCTGATTCGATAGATGACATTACTTAAGATGTCATTACAATGAAGTTGATTTGTCATAAATTAGTTAGTCAAAGCCATATTTTATAGCATAGTGAAACATAAGCAGTCTACATGTAAGCAGTAAATGGTTTTCTAGGGAGTTTATTTTGAAAAGGTATATTCCTATCTTACACATACGAAATGAATTGCATGGAATTTCATTGTGAAGAAGAACGTTCAAGCCAATTTGCCAATAAAACCATTTATAACCCAGAACTTGAAGACAGCATTCAAAATCTAGCTGTTCGGATTCCCAAACTGAAAATGCTTTATCTCAATGCTGTAGATTGATTATAGGGGACAAACTTTATGCTTTATGCATTTTCATTTGTATGGCAGCTACTCAAAAGGTAGTGGGCTGTTGGGAGTCGCTAAGAAGGTTCACAGAGAACAAGATTGTAGCAGCCTGTTTGGTTTTGCAACCTCCTCTGCCTAAAATTACCAAAGTTCAGAGATTTTCTTCTCCATCTTTGTCATCCCTCTTCTTTGGTGGTTTACTGGTAGTAGAAAGCCAGACTTTTTTCCTTTGAGGACCACCTCAAAGATGTCCATTTTAACCCTGATTTTTGATGTCTTCAATACCATACAAATTAGGTTAGGATCACTAGAACTCAATCCAAAAGTGAAAAAAAAAAGCCTTTGAAGAAGCTGACATTTTCTTTTTTTACCTTGAAATGTTGTGGTGTTGATTGTGTCACAAAGTTTGGAGTGATTTTTAAAATGTGTCTTCAGAAATGTCCACACTGAATTCTGGTTACAGGCTATTAATTAGATTAATCTAAAAATTGAATGCACTGCAAATACAGTTTATGTTTATAACCAGCACGTAATAATATACTTATAATAAACAGTAAAAAATATACCTGTAAAATGTCAAATATTCTTGGCAAAAAGCAGTTTATTTTTGATTTTAACAAGCACATCTCATTTCTGTGCCATTTTCATTTTGAACATGTATTGTTAAGAGGTGAAAGCAGCAGTGCTTTTGAAAAGATTGTATCAAGAGCAATGTTATAATTAAAAAATGCACCATAACCAGCTGAGAAGGTACCTATGAGATAATACTTGGGTAACTGAGGGACTACTGTGTGTTCAGCAGCATCTTTTTTTCTGATTAACAGAAGTGAACTGAGTCAACAGAAACTTCGCACCCAAGAGCTCCTTTCTCAGCTGGAAATAGCAAATGAGAAGGCTGTTGAGGTAAGATAACGAATAATGTGACAGATACTTTCAGCTACAGCCTGAGACATATACACTAGGATCTTACCAGCAACTCTTTTAGGTGAGTTATGTTGCTAGTTTATAGAAACTTAAATATTTTTTGACAGGAACAGCTGTCGCTTGAAAAACCCACTCTGTTTCTGCAGACTGACATGTTCAAATGGAACAGGAATACAGGCTAACTTTATTCTGAAATTGTAAGATAAAGACAGGAGAGATCTTCTTTCATAGTTATTAGTACTGCTGCTTTAGTCAATTCAAAAACTGTTTCTGGGGACACTTTTTGCTATGTTTGCACACTCCTGAAAGGGAGGAGGCGTTGCTGTAGGTATAATGCAATACAAGCAGAGAAGTAAAATTTTTCATATTCTACATGTGTAGTAGAATTTACAATTCCTTTGTGTGTGTATATGTATATGGATAAGAGCATCATCCATTAAAGATTAAAGGCAGGGTTGTTTTGGAATGTGCATTTTTTAATAATTAATGGTCACTTTAGAGAACAGCTATCCTGTCAGTTTGCCTCATAAATCAGGAATAATATCTAACTCTATTTAGAATAAGTCCTTACGTATTCTTTTGTTGTTGTTGTGCTGTATTATTTAGAGGACAAAAGGGGCCTGATAGGAGGAAACTTCCATTCAAGTAAAGGATGATTAAGAAAGATTTTATACCTGCTCTTTCATGAACAGAACAGAGGAACAGAAGAAAATTCAGAAGATTCTCCTTTGTATTATTTTGCACACTGTTTTTTACTGTGAGAATAGTTAAAACAATTATATGGTAAGACTGTATAAATTAAATTACCTGAATTAAAATGTCAGCTTTTAGGCATCTTAAAGATAGTGAAATAAAAACTTCCTGTGAAGATTACTGTGGCTGGAAAAGTGGTAGGATCTCACCAGCTCCGGTTTGTGCATTTGATCTAGAAATTCTCTCTCATGTGTCAGTAGCGTGTCTTCAGCAGCAACTGCACTTCCCGAGTTCCTGTTGCTGTAAGCTTTCTCACTGCAGTATGGAGCCGATAAAGAGAATTTCACATTTGTAATGAGATATTTCGTTTATACAGGATGAAAAATTAATGATGGAATATCGAGAATACATCAATAGGCTTCAAAGACGACTAAGCCAGGCAGAGCAGAGGGCAGCTACAGCATCTCAAAAGGTACAAAACTTTAACAAAGCAATGTGTTGTTTTCACAGGCATGCAAAAATTCCTTTGAACATTGGAAAAAACAAAACAGACTTTATATTTTCTCCAAGGCAGAGGTGGTCGTTTCTGTGCAGTATTACTAACATGATTTGAACAAGCCTATGTTTCGAATGTGTCATCCCCAAAGTGAGGCATATTCCATTAAATACTAAATCTTCTTCCAACGGGATGCTCAAGTGACATAGATCTGTTTAGGGAAACAAACGGGATGTGAATTAAACTTGTGTAGTTCAAAGTCTGTGGATGAAGGTTTATAATCTTTTATATACTCAAAAATGATAGAAAGTTAAGGGAGGGGGGAACTCCTTTTCATGCCAAATGAAGTTTAGAGCTGTAAAGTTAAAGCGCGTACAGCTCCTGTTTGCGTATAGAACAGGCTGTTTCGGCTTGTTGCAGTTTGCTTCAGCTCTCGTGAGCAGTGGCTTCCTGCGGTGGGCACACGTGGTGCTGCTGCCCCTGCCCGGCTGGGAACGGGCGCGCGCTCCGAGCTGGCGGCCGCAGAGCAGCCTCTGCAGGAGCTGCTGGGCAGCCCAGCTGCCTCTGCCCGCTGGCTTCTTCCAGGCAAGGAAGCTCCCTTCCCTTCCCCTGTCTGGTTCACTGCATGGCTGCATGCACGTGGGGAGCTGATCGCAGCGGATGAGGACAGAATCTGTAGTGTGGAGCTACACGTGGTGCCACCGGCAGCCGTGAGCGCCTGTGTGAGGTGGCGTCACCTCTTCCCTCGCTGCCTCCCTGCCTGCACCCCGCGCTCCCATCCGCAGGCCGCGCGGGCTGCGGCCGCCCTGCTACCCAGCGAAGCAGGTCCCGCTGTAGCTGCCGGCAGCCCCTGGCCCTCCGCCCCGCGGTGCTGGGGACGGCGCAGCCAGTCACGGTGGGAAGCACTGGGTTTGCTGCAGGGCCTGGGGAGGGCTGGAGGGAGGGAAGAGGTTTGTACCCCACTGAAAACCCAAATGTGCCTCGTGTGTGTTTCAGTGACCCTGGAATACAAGAACTTGATACAAGCTGGACCCACTAGAGCCACGTGTGTGTCTCAGGCTTCCTCATGTATCCATGTGACTATGTAGTGGGCTGAATCTGAATTGTTGCAGACTACTTTTTTTTTTCTCCTAGTTGTCTTATAACTCAAAATACCAACTTTCAGCAGTGCCCTTCAGTATTGTCTTGGCAAGAGATTTGGGGAAGAAAAAAATTGTTTATCTTCAAGGGAAAGGGCAGAAACTTCAAACTGTAATTGCCATAAACACTGCTATGCGTAACAGAAATGCCCTCTTGTCTCTGCTGAACAGTACAGTGTGTTTTCCCATTCCTCTCTCCATGCTATCCAAGCTGTATCCCATGGAAGGGTTCTACACTGGGTTCACTTCTTTGACAAGCAAATGTGTTGTTCAAGGTGATCTCCTATATAGAAAAGGCAGTCCTGCCTCCTAATTTTATATGGTGATTTAGGAAACACTGTTTTACAAATTACAGATTTTAAGGTGCATATTTCCACATAAGTTGCAGGGAGGAAATTTTGTTTGTTGTGGGGATCTGCTGGTTCCAATGTTTCTGAAACACTATCTTGCCTAGAGCAGGGTGATCACATCAGCTTTCAAAGGAATAAATTACGGTCTCAGGACCCATAGGGGACGAGTTCTTACTGTTTCTGAAAACCCCCGAGATTGTCTGCTCCTCGTGGGTCTCCCTCGGTGGGGTCACAGCGGATCGGATGGGCACGTAGCAGCTCTGTGGTGGGGCAGGTGGTGTGCCAGCCTGCAGAGCTGCCTGCCGGGCCGCCGCGTCTGGCGCGGGCCCTGCGGCAACGCAGGAGGTTTCCTGCTGCCCCTCTCCTCCCGCTGTCCCTCACCCAAAGCCCTGCTGTCCCTGTCAGGAAAAGGGCTCTCCATAGCGCTGGTGTGGCACGGCCTGCTCTTCCCAACGCGGAGAGGGGAAGTCTTCCCACTCGCTTAGCTCTGGGAAGACTGATGTGGATATGTGGCTCCTCGCACGCAGGATGGTAACTCTTCACTGTTGTCTTGATCGGTAGGTGCAGGACTGCTTTACTGAATTGTTGTATTAGCCATTTACTTCTAATTCTAAATGCAGTTTAGGATAGAAGGACTTTACCATCACTGTCATAGAGCCTACTGATCTTCCCTCATGCCTGCGTGCTTGATTACGTATGTCATACGCATTGACAGAACCTGTTCTAGATGCTTCCCACAACTTCTCAAGGGACTTAGTATCTAGATAAGCTGAATAGCCTCAGCGAGGAAGGTGACTGACTTGCACTGTTCTTCCAGTTGGCAGATGCAGCTTCCTCTCTTGTCATGGAGGCTGGAATCGGCTTGTTGCAAAAGCAAGCTGGCTGGAGAGCAATCTGCTCCTCTTTGTGAAACATGGTGCGTGTGACTTGGCTCCTCACTTTGGTGGCAGGTTTACTGCAGCCTTCACTAACTGCTGCTGCTGCTTTCCTCCTGCAAGCTGCAATGGACGAGCAGAAGGCTGTCAGAGCAGGCCTCATGCTGGCTTTCCTCACCCTGCCGTGCTCCTGAGAGATGTGGCTAGCGTGGGGAGCAGCGTCTTTTCCTCCTTCCTTGCCGTAGTTGAGGGAACTGACATGCAGTTGTCTGTTTTCCCACGAAAGCGCGTTTGAGAGCTGCTCGTCATCTTCGTCGCACAGACATAGGGTCTGCATCAGCTACAGCCGCAGTTTCTCAAGGGTAACTGCTCTCTTTACTTGTGTTAAGCTTTGCAGCGAAAACTAGAAACTAGCAGCAAATGCAAAGCTGGACGCTCAGATGGCAGCTCTGTACGTTACTACCGCGTGCGAATCACCAGCAGTAGCCACAGCTGCTGCCAAAGCTGACACAGAGCAGATGTTGAAGGCTCTTCAACAGGAGTAGGAGCTGGCCATGTGGTTCTTTGAGAAAGCCATCTTGTGCAGGGTTTGAGTATGAAAAAAAATGTTAGCGTTACCAGCGCTTCACTCATGTCTATAAATACTGGCTTATTACTAAATAACAGTACTTCAGTGAAGACTCATCATTAAAAGTGAATTATCATTTTTTGTAGTTTTAAAATATGTGAATTTGTGTGCATCTAAAAGTATTTTAAGTGTACTCCTGGTAGCCCTTTTTTTTTTTTTTTTAATCATTTGTGATTCTTTGGGACATTAAAACAAGATAAAAGCAATTACCATCAGTAGACTTCTGTTTAACCCAAATTCTCACTTGTCAAAGCTTGTTCCATCCCTTCAGTAATATTTTCTGCATTGAAGATTTACTAATACTCAGGTCTTAAAAGGATTTTTTTTTAATAAAAAAGGAAACTATCTGCTTCTTTTTGATTACAGCTCAGTGTGATAACCGCACACAAGAGGAAAGCTGCTTCCCTGCAAGAGTTGGAAAATACTTAAATATGTGCATTGTTCACTCACATCATGTTGGAGTTGAGAAGATTGCTGGAGACTCTCCATATTGCAGCAGTAAAGTCAAATGCATGGTGAGATTTGAAAGATTTGCAGCAACGGTTTCTGTTTTGTTCAGGTAAAGAAGGGGGTGGCTGAAGCTACTGTATGTCCATGCATGGCAATGCCAGGAAGATGCCTGCAAAGTGACATAGTGAAGGGCCTGCAGTGTGGCAGACCTGACAGTCTGATGTAGAGCTGTGGTGTATTGGTCTTTTTGGTGAAAATCACCAACCAAAAGAAAAAAAATGTGGACAGGGACTAGATAACAGTATATTAGAGTTAGTACACAACTTCGCTCATGTATAATTTGTACCTTTTTCCTTTTCACTAACACTTGAAGATTTGTGAGGTGATGAAATCATTTATAAGATACTAATTATGTCACAACTGTCAACTTTGATAGGATGTGTGGTAACTGGGAAATGCCTCTGTTGTCTCCTCTGTTTGTAAGGATTCAGCTCAGTTTGGTCTGATGCCCTTGGAAAAGTGTTAATAAATAAAGTGTTGCTATGGTTATTCACAGAGCTAGTTTCTAAGGACCATAATCCTTTCTCAGTTGTGCTTTTTCCTCCTAATTACTATTTTTACATTGTGTTGATCTGCTCTCTTTGGTTTGTACGTGTCTGGGAACTTGAGATACCCGTTACTTCAACTTGCACAAAGTGTGGAAAAAATCCGCAGCCTTTATGTACTCTGAAGCAGTGCGCTGAATTCTACGGATTCCAGGAGAGGGATCCTCTTGGGAACAAGGTTTTAATAGATGAGGAACTCCAGGTATATTATTCTAAAATCAGGACTGTCCTCTTGTTTGTCAGATTTTGAAGTGCTCCCATTTTGGGGTCATGTAATTTCTTGTCCTTCCTTCTTGAACATGAAGGGTATAATTTGTGTCTATAACTGCTTAAGGAAAGTTACTCTCTCCTGTGTTCTCACATCCCTTTTTCCCAGTGCTTTCCCAGTTTGATATATCCAGTGTAATTTATAACAGAGAACATTCTGCTAAGTGACTTTACACAAGGATTTTCACAGAAACAGTTCCGGAGCTCCACACATCTCCTCCAATGAGATTTTAATCAACTGTGTGCGTGTACGTGCAAAAATAGATGGATGGAGGTGAGTACCAAGCAGCTCATTTTCATTTGCCCAGCGCGTAACTCTGGGAGTTAGGTCTGAGAGGGCGACTCCGTTGGCCGCCCCGTGTGTCTGCGTGTCTGTTTCTGAGCGTCGGGATTTGCGCTGCTCTTCCTTTGCTTCGAGGGGCGCAGAAAATGCTTGCTTGCTTCTTTAATAATGGGTAGATTCATTTTCAGCTGTTGGTGTAGCTGTTGTGCAAAAGGAAGTGGTGTTTGCCAGAATAAAGAGATGGTGACCCAAAAACTTAAAACCCACACCACCTCTGGCCAGGAAACCTCCTTTGCTTCTCCGGGGGGATGTATGAAGAGTGTGAGCGCTGAAGGACAGCGCCCGCCGAAGAGGTGAGCAGCACCTCCTGGAGGAGGGCGTGAGAAAACGTCAGTGCAGTTTCCTGCTGCTTGCACAGGCTCAGCTGGCAGTAACAAGACCCCTTACTAATCCTCAGATAAAATCCTTTTTCTTTCGCAGCCTTAGGATGCATTTTTGATACCTGTAGTGATCCATATGAAATATCCAAATCAAATGCTTATTCTAACTACAAAGGTAGTTCAAGTCATTGCAGCAAGTGTTTATGCAAAAATTCAAACAGAATGATTAGTGTGGATTCTAAAACACTGCTACAAACCTGTTGCAAAAATGTACAGCATTTATTCACATACAGACAAAAAGGCACAATTCTACTGAATATTTTAACAAAAAAATACAGCTGTCTTCAACTAGTCTTTATAAATACTTCAAAAAAGGGGGAAAATAAATACAGGATTGGGCCATGTAATATAAAATAGTCATCTCTACATATACTTTTTATTTCTATCTGTTTCTCTTCATGCACCTTTTTTAATTAATTTTAGCTGAATGGACACCAAAGCTAGGCACATAGTGAAAAATCTTCTGTACAAGGTTTTACAAATGTAACGACCATTTTTTTCCCCAAATTTCTGAAATTAAGATTTATACACAACACATATAACCCTTCATTTAGATTTGTGTGAGTTTATAACCTAACAAATGACATTCCAGGCAACTTTACAAAAGTTTTAACTAGCCTACGGTTTGACATAATACACCAATCATAATCGAAGTTCTCTTGGTCAGTCTGCATGAGAAAAGGTAACGCTTCTTAAGAAAAAGAAATTCAGCAAATGGTTCTACCCCAAGGGGAAGATAGAGGGGGTGGATTTGTGTTGTCACTGCTGTACTCAGGACACCTCTCTGCTGAACACCAAGCATGGGAGACAAAACCAACCTACCAAGCTGGCCACTCTGGGGCCGTCTGACAGCTGCTTGTAGCGGGGGCGGGGAAAGCACTTTTTTGGTTTTGGTTCAGCGTCACTGGAAACATTAGAAAGCTTAATAACCTAAATGTCGGGGAGCAGAACAGGTAAGGCATTAATTCTGCACAACGCCAGCATTCGTGATAGTGCAAATTAATCAGGTACCTCCTTCAAACTGGTGTGAGGTTAAATGTTTATTTAGAATCAAAATTTAGATTATTCCATCTATGGCTTGACAAACAACTCCCTACATGGCACAAGCTTCTCGCAAAAAATAACAGTGCTCTTTTAGAAAATGTTGCTATATGTTGAATAGAACTACTTGCATTTACCTTTTGCCTGTCTTGTTGCTTGCTGATCAAACAAGTCATTTAATTCATCCCAAGAACAACTACAGAATTGCAGATTCACAGAGGCCCTGCTAGACTTCAGTCTGGCCAAATCACAAGGTTAACCTAATTTCCTGGGAGCAGCAATGGTATTTAAAAGTACACTGTGGTAGACAAAACTTCCCCTCTTCATCAGCATCCCCAAAAGTATCAAAAGGTTAAGACTTCCTAGTTTTAAAACATGACAGGGACTCTTTTCTGTCAAAATACTCCGTTAATGATAACTTGCACAGCAAGATAGGGTGTTAAGAAGCCTTCTTCTGATTGAATCCTCTGGAAGACTCAGTTCTGGCAGAGTTCTGCTGTACTTTAAAATTTTCCCTGCCTGAGAGGCAAGGTCTAAAATTACAAAGAAAGTGAATGTGGTACCAGCAGGCTAGCAGTAGAAAAGGGAGGGGCTTTTCCTTACGCCTGCGTTTCTGTAACTCACCGCTGCTTAAACCTTCTTTCAACTAGTGCATACCTGACTTCTTAAATCTATACAGAATTCCACAACTTACAGGCTCCTAATAACCCAGTGCTATGTGTGTACACTCTACTCAATACGAAACAGCATCCTAATGAACTGTTAATATTATTGCTGATAGCTTACTAATTATTGCCATTTGCAATTATTAAAAAAAAAAGTATGCAGTCAGAATGTGAGATGCCTCTTCCATCAAATCTAGTCCAGAATAAATGAAATATTTTTTTCTTCATTTGAATGTAAAGAGCTAATCACGATTTATTGCCTTTCCATTTTATTCTCTTTAAAAATATATATTTATGTCCACTTTAAAGCAACCCTTTAGTGTCCTAAGCCTGGCTTTCCCAGTACATCCATCAGTGCATACGTGGTGCGCTTGGGAAATCCAAATGACTAGTGCCTTAGAATGTGTTTTCCTTGAATCATCACTGTCCTCCAGGAGGTGGGCGATGGACTCAACGCCGAGGAGCGAGGTAGCTACTGCTGGGGGCAGGAGCCCCCGCGCCTGCCCGCTCCTCCCAACGAGGCAGCCGGAGCTGCCGCCGTGCTGGGGCTGAGTCTTCCCAAGCCGCTGCCCTGGAAGGGAGCTGCAGCCTGACCCAGCCATTCCTTTCTCCAGGATAAAGGCGTGTTCAGAGCCAGCCAGCTCGTAGATGTATTCCCATGTAAACTCGGGAGCTTACGGAGGGCTCGGGGCTGCTGCACACACCCAAACTGAATGCAACAAAAAGCATCTGCAAAAGGACAAGGACCCACCACCATCCAGGCAAGTGACCATTTCTAACGGGGGCTGGCAGTGCAGTGTGGTTAAGCAACCACCTCTGATTCCATACACGCTAGTTAAAGTAACAGCTTGTCCTTTCTTGGAAGGGAAATTTTTGGAAATTGCATCAGTGCTGTTTAGCTAAACAACAGGGCTGATGCAGCCGACCTCCCCCTGCCCACCCTAACCCCTGCTGAAGTTTTCAGAGTTACTTTAGTGTTTGTCACAAACCCTAATTTTGTAGTGATGTCACTTCTTTGCTTCCTCAGGAAAGTTGCAAAGTAATGATTCAAATTTCTCACAAAATGGGTTGGGGGGGGCAAAACAACATATCTGTTAAGTGCATGTAAACATATTTATACAGCTCAGGAATAACGGGTCCAACCTGCCAGTCCGTAGCCATGTCTAAGACCTCTCTCTCCTCACACTGAAAACTATCGTGGAGTTGGCTGGTGGGCAGCGCCTCTCGCGCTGGCGGTGGTGCCGCTGCGGCCCCCTGCCCCTCAGGAGGCCAGGATACTCCTCCTGATACCGTCCTGCCGCCTGCCGAGCGCCCTGCTGGGGCTGAGCCGCTGCTGCCTGCACTTCTTCTCCGCCACCTCCGGCTCCGAATCGCTCATCTCGGCGTCGGGCACGTAGCCGTCGTTCTCGCTGTCGGGCCTGGGCTTGCTCCTGGTCCTGTCCTTGGGCGAGAGGCGGCCCACAGCCAAGTAGGGGTAGCCGGCGCCGTGGCGGCCGGGCCCCTCGGGGCTCTCGCCCTGCACCTGCCGCTCCCCCTTCTTTGGAATTCGGAATCCGCCCCAGTTTTTCACCGGGCTCGTGGGCGTCGTAGGCACTTTAACTACCGTCTGGTTGGGGTTTATTCTGACGAGGCCTCCGTTGCATTTAGGCACTGGATCCCTGCGCGTGCCGGGCGCTGTCCGACCGCTCGTGTGGT